ATGGAAGGGATAGTCATTGAGCCACAGTTACTCTTCAGAGGTGTTCCTTTTTTGGCAGGGATGGCTATCTTCTAGTACTGCTGTTGTGTTTAGTTATTGGCTTGGAGCAGACCAGGGGAAGTATTGTCTGGCGTGAACGCCCAGTGGATTAAAAGGTGTAGCAGCTGGAGTTTGTAAGTCAGCTATGTTATCCACAGCAGGTTCTTAAAAAAAAAAAAAATCAGAAGGGAACAGCTCCATGACCACCAGAATTAATAAGAACGATGACAGGCACACATGCATTATAATCTTAACACCACTCTGTTAAGTATCATTCATGAGCAAACAGAGATTGAGATATTAAGTAACTGAAGTCACTTAGCTAGCAAGTGATAAACCCAGAAGTTTGACTTAGAAAGGAGTCTGACTCTTCAGTGGTTTCGGTACTTAGACCCCTAAACCATACTGACCATATGCATACTTTTAAATTTTCTGCTAAACTTCCTTTTACAACTTGTAGATTCTTTTTACAGTGTTTGTTGGATCTAAAAATGTCTAATTACCTTTTGCTGTACAAGTTTCTAAAAATTCATTTGTTTTCATTAAAGCCTATATGTTTAAAACTTGTAGATTTACTCTTTGAATTTTGATGCGTGTCTTCACTTGTTAGAAAAGTACATTATGCTAGTTCCACCCTGTCCTTCTTTTCTTCCAGTATATTGAAATTGTACTACAGATCGCTAGCTACAGTAAGCAATTCTCTGAGGAGGAAGAAAGAAATGTACATTCACATAGGAATTTCTTTTCCAGAGCTAAAATTGACATTTTATAAATAATTTCCATGTTGCAAACTTGAGACTAAGAAATCACAGCAGTTCAGTGATATGCACTTGGCATGAGTCAGTTTTAGTTCTTAGTGCTTTTCATTGGAAATGGAATAAAAAGTAAGATATCTCTGAATTTTTTATGCTGTGGGCTTACAGGAGACAGAAAATGTTGTTTTTCCTTATAGATGTGTGGCAGTGCATGGCCGCAGAAGTAACGAAATGGTCACAAACCCCAACAGTATTTCCCAGGTTATATTTTCTTAATTTTTAAAGACTCTAGAAACAAACTAAGCAGTTGATAACAGGTCATTTCTAGGTGATAAAGAGTACTTGGTGTGGGGTGGTGCTCTCCTCCCATGCCTCTCATTTCTGTAGCGATTTAGAGATTTCTTTTGTATGCTGGTGGGTTTATATGTTTTTAAATATATAACCAAACAGTAGCTCAATTTTCTTTTCTCTCTTTTTCATTGTTTAAAAAAATGTATTTAGCATGGATTTTTTTTTTTTTTGAGGTCTTAATTTTTTTTTTAATTTGTGGAATGTTTTCTTATTGATCTGACCTGTTATGGAAGATTCTGGTTCTGATTGTTTAGCACCCCCTTGCCCCCTCCCACTTTACATTCAAGAAAAAGAATGTGTTATAATTGTTTTTACATTTGTTCTTTTGATGTTTGTTTCTGAAATACTTCTCATTGGTCATTGACTTCAATGTCAGGTACACATGGAAACGCCACTGGAAACTACTGTGAGGAGAGGAAGAGAGAAATTAACAGTAACCCCTCCAGAAGTACACATGCATTTCTCTATAAAAGGAAAACCTGACTTACTAAGCTAAAGAGTGTTACTTTAAAATAGCATCCTTTGAGTGTAAAAAATGGGGATTGTTGCTTTAGAAATTTAGTTGGTGTTTTATTGACCTAGTAATTGATAGGAAAACATGCATTTAAAATAAATAGCATATTGAATCAACTGTAGTATACTCATTTAACAAAAGCCAAAAATTTATGGGTTAAACTGGATTTGAAAATGATTAGAGCTTAAATCCTAAACAGATTCATCATTAAAATGAAATGATAGGTCCTTGACCCTTGGTTTTGCTTTGAATAAACATGGAACTTGGTATTGTTTTGAAAACTATTTTGCTTTTATAAGCTAAGACAGATGTACAAAAAAGATGCAGTTTTTATTTTGTATTGGCAGCTTCCAAATATTTAGTATCTATTTCCAAGAGTTGCAATTAGTAAAGCAACCATGGTACTGAAATCTGCACATCCCACAAGCTAATTATATTTGCAAGGTCAGAGTGAATACATATTTTCAGAAAAATAAAGGGTTATATAAATATGTGTCTTCTACTTGGCTGTTATATCACAGTTTGTTGATCTGGAGTATAATGTGTACAATTCACAAATTTGTCTGATAACAGAAAGTGGTGTGTGATTGTGTTTATTTTACTAACCAGTATATTCACAGCAATCACTTCCAAATATCTCTCCAGTAAAGATGTGTTAATTACAAAACAGACAAGGTCTTCTATTATATTAAAGCTACTAACAAGAAGACAGCAGGAATCACACATGTAAATAGCATCATCAACCCCTATTTTAGTCCTCTGTTTTGATCTGTGAGTTGCGCATAGACCAAAGGTGCTATTAAAGACTGAGTGTATGAAATAGGCAGCATTATATGAACAAAATTTATTCAACAAGAAAACAGACCTTTAACATGAATTTAACAAGCTTGAGAAATTATAAACTATCATATGCTGCAGATTCATGCAGTGATAATAAACAAAAAAGGAAAGTAAGAGGTTTCTCTAAGCTAGCCAAACTGCTAATGGTTTTGTTATAAGCTGTCTACTGTTGCAGTGACCTCTGAAAAGTCTCAAGGCACTTGCACCAGAAAAAAATTAATGGTCAGGCTGGTAAGTAGAGATTCAGTGTGGTTTGCAGGTCTTCGGCATGGAAAGATATCTTATTTTTCATCCTTCAGCATGGAGGTTATTGTTACTATACATTAAGGAGGTGATTTGGATGCAAAGTTTTTATGGTAAAATTTTGAGGTACATAAGACAAGCTGAGTTAATGTATACATATTTCAGAATGGGCTATTTAAGAAATGCAGAGTGCTTTAAGAATGGATTATTCCTCTTACTTTCCCCTCCCCACCTCCCCACAGTACCTTAATTCTTGGAGGTTCTTTGTTTAATATGTTGTATCTTAGATTTCTGTTCCTAACTATGGAGTGACCACTTTCCTGTCATTCTGTTGCATCATGCTGTAAATATACAAACATGGAGAAACGCCTTGAGCTTATACACACCTCCAAATTCTCACTAGGGCTTTTTCTTGAATCTTACTGTGGCATAATTAACACCTTCATCACCCATTGCTCATTAGTGCACTGGTCATTAATGAGTCTATTTTGATAGGTTGCTCTAAAGTAGAAATCCACTTATTCTCACAGCAGAGAAAGTAATTATAAAATTGTACAGAAATTAAAATGTAGACTATATTGCTATATTTATTTTTTATTGCATGCTAAATCTAATTTTGGTCTGCAGGTTGTTGAACACGTTAGTTTCCTTAAGACAGTTGCTATAGTGATAGCAGAAAATTCCTTTAATCTTAGTGTAATCATTTTATTGCTGCTCAGGAACTATCAATCTAAACATGTTGTCATAATTTATTATTTGAACAACACATTAAATTCTTAAAGGTTTTTCTTAACTTATTCAGAATAATATTTTTTTTTTGTTTGTGCAGGGCTAAAAAATAGATCATGATACCACCTAACTGGTATTTTCATTTCCTAAATTGATGTCTAATGTTTTAGTTTGACTGCATTTGTGAGGAAGCATTTCATTGGGATATATTCTGAAATTCCCATAGCTTATGGAAATAGTTTCTAGAAATGAGTTTTTATTGAACTCAGGACAAAATCCTAAAGCAGTTGGAACAAATGATACTTTGCTGTCTAATATTTATCATTACTAGTTCATTATGATAACATCTAATTAAATGCTTTAGTTTGAGGCAACAAAAGGAATCTTTGGGAAAATTCAGATCACTAGACTGAAAAGCAACATTAAAACTTTAAGATAGATTTTTTTTTTTTTTTAGACCCTGTTAGATTTCAGTTGGCTTAACTTGGAAATGAGTTTTAATCTCTCAGTCAGTGTACTCAGATAACAGTTGTACAAGTGAGAATAAATCCAAGTGACAGTAGCTTTTAAAACACTGGCAAATCTCAGTTGTTTAATACTTTTAAAGGTCAGTCAGGATATACTATATTGTCTTGCTCTAAGATTGTCCTGGAAAGGAGCAGTCTGTCTTAAGGCCACATGGTTTTACCTAAAACTTCACAATCTTAAAGGCTTTCACAGTTTCTTTCAAATCCAAATAATTAATACAAGTATGTCAGCAATAAGATAGTAGATAGTATGTGATTCTTGTTAATCTGTTGATATATAAGTTAGCATGATATTAGATCATGAAAGAATTTGAATCTAAAGAAGATATATGTTGTTATTATTATTTTTTTTTTTTCTGTAAACTTGTGGCCATATCATACTGTTCCTGGCTGAAAACATAACTGACCTTGGTTTTCTTATAAGTCTCCTAGGCTTGACAGTGGCTTGGATGTTTAAAGCCATCAGACAAGGTATAAAGTCTTTCATAGTCACAAGAAGTAAAAGATATCTGACTAGTAGAGAATATATGGGCAAGTGACTTGCTGGCTGCAATTTTGTTGTCATTTCAAGTACCGTGATGGTGTAATTGATGTGACAGGACTGGGCTTTAGATGTAGTCCCTGAGCTTGTGCTCACTTTCAGTTTTAGTTTCTCTGTCATTCATTTTGACTAGGAAGAATTTAGGTGACAAACATATGCACAACAATGAGGGTTATTTGGTGTACGTTTAGTGATGACATATTTTTAATAATAAAGATGCAAAGTTAATATTTTGCTGCTTCATGAAAATTACAATAATTGGTGTCACCTTACATTACAAGATAGAGGGTGGTGTACTGATGGCACTATCAGCAGGAGGTTCTTTTTTATTAATATTATAATTAAATGATTTTCTGGAAATAGGCCAGAAACAGATGCAAGTTGATCATGCCTTGTGCACTGTTGCTTGGCACCGTCACTTGTTTTTAAAAAAGAATTGACTTGACACCTTGTTTTTACAGGTTGTTATTGATGCCTTCAGATTGATCAATGCTAATATGATGGTCTTAGGACATGAACCAAGACAAACAACTTCAAATCTGGGCCACTTAAACAAACCATCTATCCAGGTAATGACTATATTTGATAATGTGTTCAAGTTTTATAATTTAAAAACATGCTATAGCCATTTAAGATCTAATTCTTATTTTAATTTTCTTGCAAATAATATTTGTTTGTTTGTTTGTTTGTTTGTTTGTTTGTTTGTTTTGGTCCGTTTGGTTTTGGAGGGGTTTTTTGGTCTTTTTGAGACAGGATCTCCCTGTAGTCACAGCTATCCTGGATTCACTATGGAGACTAGGCTGGCCTTGAACTCATAGAGATCCACCTTCCTCTGCCTCCCAAGTGCTGGGATTAAAGGCATGTGCTAATAATTGTTTTGTTTTAAAAGAGAATCCCAAGTCCTTGAGAGACTGTATGTTTGAACTCATCCTGCAGAACAGAACAAGATTCTATCAAAGAAAGAAAAAAAAAAAATTCAAAGAAGAAGAAAGAGTACATGAAGTTATCAGAAAAATGTGATGGGAAGATATGAGCGGAGCTGGAGGGGAGGGAATGGGCATGGATTTGATCAAAACACCTTATATGCATGTATAAAATTCTCAATAAATTATTAAAAACAAACAACAACAACAACAAAAAAAAACTAAAAGAGCCAGGTGTGGTGACACATGCCTTTAATCCCAGCACTCAGGAGGCGGAGGCAGGCAGATCTCTGTGAGTCTTAGGCCAGCCTGGTCTACATAGAGAGTTCCAGCCCAGTTGGAACTATAGAGAGACCCTGTCTCAATAAGCCCCACCCCCCAAAAAAAAAACTAAAGAAAGATGGGAATATTGTAAAAGTTAGATTTGCTCATATGAATCATTTTTTAGTATGGTTTTAAATTTTCCTGCCATATTTTCAGACAGTTATTTTGGGAGCATAATGGAGCCTTTATCTCAATCATATCTTCTGTCTAGTTAGCATTATAGAAAAGAACCAAGAAAAGTTTCAGACAGGGGCCATTGGCTATCATTAATTTATTCATAGGCATTTCTCATAGCAGCAAGTAATGGGGAAAACTGGCAATATATTATTTAAGAGGCCCCAAGAAACAGTTCTTAGGTAGTATTTACATTTTTCTGCCTTTTAAATTTTATGTTCACCTTCAGTATAAATCCTATAAAACACATCTAAGCATTAACTTTTGACAAGTTTATCTTGTTTCATCTGATGATATCAACCACTGTTATTGTAGTTATTTGTTGTTCAGACACAAATTTTCTCTTGAGTGATTAATGTTTTCTTTGTATCCTTCACATGCCTCATTGTTTTAATACAAGTCTTTATTGTCTGCAAGAATTACTTTAAATGTGTTTTTAAATGCACACAGTCTGTGCCTATGTAGGTAATTATTTCTCTAAAGATTAATTAATAAGACGAAAGTACCATGTTTGATTAAATAGGACACACAAGACAAAGACATTATAGTAGCTATTGCTGTTCCCCTTCTGAAACCTTGTTTTGCCTTATAAGGTTGTCTTTGGGGAGTTGTGGCATTAACAGTTAACTATGATTAAGACTTACACTTGATAACTTTGTATTTTTAAACAGCTTTTCTAGCACTCATTCTAACTCTTTGTCACAGTGAATTTTGTTGTTTCAAATGATTGAGGTATACTGCTTTTGGAAATTTTTTTTTTACAAGTTAGGGAAAAACTACAACATATAATGAGTATGAAATAAGCTACCAGTGATTTTGATTGGGCACAGACAAGCCCATACTTGCATGTTCCAAGAGAATATATTATTGGACCTGTTTAACCCATGATAATGACCTTTCTTATAAACCCCCTTAGCATCATACTGCTTCATTATTTTTTAAAAAAGGTTAAATAGCATCTCACAATCCAAAATCATTGTGATTACTACATGGTATATTTCTGCCAGAAGTTTTTACTAATTGCAAGTCAGCAGCCACCTGTTGCAGATTTCCTTTTATAAATTAGAACACAGCCTTTTCACCTTAAAAGATATAATCGATATTGAAATCTGCTTTTTTATACTAATCCACTTTGTACTGTTTAATCCCAACAGTCTACAATTAAAAATGGACCTTATTAAGGTTCCAAACCTAAGTTAAATGACTTATGTACAACAGCTACAATGGCATTATTTTTCCTTTCATCTTTAGTTTGTTATGCCTCCCAGTTAGAATTTGTAAATATATTTATTTCACAGTTTATATAGCGCCCATAGGGATGACATTTATCTGGGTGCTTTACAGTTTTAAGATAATTTCAACACTACAGCACACAAAGTGGTATCAAGCCAAAAAGTGACACACCTTAAAATAATTTATGTAAGACAAACCAGAAAGACAAGGATCCAGAAAAGCCTGAGGGGCATGGTAATATCCACAATAGACTTTTACTGTATATTTGCCAAAAATTTAACTGGCAAACCTTTCAGAAATACCACACCTTTTATTTTGAAGGAAGCATTAACTGGTGTTGAGGAAACCTGTTCCCAAGCCAACTACAAGTAAGAGTAGAAGTCTGACAGCAGTCACTAGTGTACATACTGGTGGCCTCTTAACACTGATTTCTCTACTTTTTGTACTTAAAGTGGGAAGAAAATACTGTGATTACATTGTAAACAATTTAACAGTTGTATGAGATTTTATAAGAAAAAGTCTATAAAATGGGATATCCAAGTTCTTAATTAAGTACATGTTTTATAAGTTGTGTAGAATTGTGGGATTTTTTTTCCCCCCTCATTTTTCCTTATCCATATTTTTTACCTTTCTACAGTAAAACATAGGGCTTTTAGAAAATACTATTTCAAAGCACTTATGACAGTTGAACTAGTTAATTTTGTTTTCACTTACCATTATTCTTGGTAAAGAGTAGAAAGTATAATTCCTGAGCAATACTATTCCCTCCCTCCCTTCCTTCTTTCTTTCTTACTTATTTTTGAGACAAGCTCTTACTATGTAACCCTGGCTGCCCTGGAACTCAATGTGTAGAACAGACTGGCCTTGAACTTACAGAGGTACTTCTGTTTCTGTCTCCCAAGTGCTGGTATTAAAGTTATATGCCACTACACCCAGCTTTATTGTGCCACTATGCCCAGCTGGCTTCTATATTAATATATGACTATTATGTTATACTTGGAACATTTGACTTTTAGTTCATGTTTAAAAATGACAGTATTTATTTTAGTAACTCATTTTTTTTTTTTTTGTTTTGGTTTTTTTGAGACAGGGTCTCTCTGTAACCCCATCTGTCCTGGAACTCATTTTGTAGACCAGGCTGGCCTCAATCTCACAGAGATCCACCGGCCTCTGCCTCCTGAGTTGCTGGGACTAAAGGCGTACACCACCACTCCTGGCCTTTTAGTAACTAATTTATTTTTATTTTATGTGTATGAGTGTATTGCCTGTGTGTGTGTGTGTGTGTGTGTGTGTGTGTGTGTGTGTATATGTACTTGTGTTGTGCAATGCCCACAGAGGTCAGAAGAGAGTGTCAGATCCCCTAAAACTGGAGTTACAGGTGGCTACAGATGGCTGTTAGCCACCGTGTGGATAGTAGCTATCAAACCCAGTTCCTCTGTAAAAGAAGCCAGTGTGATTAACTGCTGCTGAGCCACCTCTTCAGCTCTTAAGTAACTGATTTTTAAAGTATTCCATTTAAAAGCACTGCTATTTCAGATGTCACTATAAATTTGAAGATTGTTGTCAGCTTTATGGATGTTTAGTAAATATTGATGCATAAGCTAGAACCTTAACCCTCTTAAGTGTAGCCCTGAGCATGTATTGGAGTTAAATTATTTGAAAAAAACATTATCTTCAATAATTATGAAACACAGAGTTATAAAACAATTGTAGTGGAACGATTATGGCCATTTTCTAGATGAGCCAATTGGGCCCAGGAAAGTGAATTGTTCAAGTTATTCAGTAAATTAATGCAAGAAATGGTAGTCTCCACATTCTTTTATAATATATTTTGAAATTAATTTGGGGGGGCGCTGGAGAAATGGCTCAGTGGTTAAGAACACTGGTTGTTCTTGCAGAAGACCCAGGTTCGAATCCCAGCACCCACATGGCAGCTAACAGCTGTCTGTAACTCCAGTTCCAGGGGATCCGATGGCCTCTTCTGTCCTCTTCGGTTCCCAGCACCTACACAACAGCTAACAGCTCTGTAACTCCAGTTCCAGGGGATCCGATGGCCTCTTCTGTCCTCTGTGGGCATTACATGACACAGGCGCACTTACCTATATATACACTCATACACATAAAATAAAAATAATAAAATATTTTATTAAAAAAATTTGGTGGTGGGGGGAGTAGCTCTGAAAGGAACCTTTGTGTTGGGAGTGAGATTGGTGCACTCACTTGGAGCTGGTGTTCTTGGTGACGGCCTTGATGCCCTCTGACACAGCGTGCTTGGGCCAGCTCCCTTGGCAGCAGGCGCATGGCAGCCTGGATCTCCCTGGATGCGATGGTTGAGTGCTTGTTTTACTGTATCAGGCGCTATGCCTCGCCCTGGATGCGCTCAAAGATATCTTTGACGAACAAGTTCATGATGCACATGACGTTGGATGAGATGCCTGTGTCTCCTGCTTCAGCACCTTGTACACATGTACACCAAGTAGCTCTCCTTGTGGCTGCACTTGCACTTCTTTGCTGTCCTTCTGCACCTTGGTCACCGCCATCTTGGAGACCTTCTTCTGGGTGGGTGAAGACTTCACAGGCTTGAGCATGTTGGAGAACAGGAGAAAACTTCTAAGACAAATAATATTAAGTGGTGGTTGTCAATTTAAATATTTTTGGCATTAGTAATATATGTATACAGTTCAAAATTCATAGGGTATTTAGTAAAAACTCTCTAATGCCCTCTATAGTCCAGTTCTCCACTCTAAAGAGAACCCACAAAATACATCCTTTCTTTTCAGTTCTATTAACATATAGAAAACTTCACTTCAGAATTTTATTTATTGGATATCATTTACCTCCATCTTTCTAGTTTATGTAAAATAGTTTAAGACCACATGTTTATCTTTAGGACTTAGCATAGTTTGTTTTTTTGTTGTTGTGTTTTTTGTTTTGAGACATGGTCTCCCTGTAGCCACAGATGGTCTGGAACTCACTATGTAGACCAGACTGGCTTCCATGTCACAAAGATCCACCTGCCTCTGCCTCCTCGGTGCTGGCATCAAAGGTGTGCACCACCACACTTGGCCTCTAAGCATGTTTTTAGGAGCATTGAATGTTTTAAATGTGTCAAGAACCTATGAATAGCTTATATATAATTCACATGTTGTATATGTGAGGTTTTGTTTTGTTTTTGAGACAGGATCTCACTATGTTTCTCAGACTGGTCAAAAATTCACAATTCTACTGCCTCAGCCTTTTGAAAGCCGAGATTACAGGTATGCACCACCGTGCTCAGCTAAACTGTGTTTATGAAATGCCTGCTTTTTCTACAGTACATAAGTTTATAAGTATAATATAGTATAGTGTAGTTCTCTTTCCCCATGAAGACCTAAAAGCTCCTGGTCAATTTGTTTATGATGTGAGATGAATACACTAGGGGTATGTAGTATGTGAATAAGTAAAATTGAAAGATTGGTTGAGCTTTGTTTTATCATACACATGCTCATCTTTCATGTTGCTTATGTTATTTTTGTTACATTTTTGTAAGTAATATAATTGAAAATCAAGTAGATACTGCCAGCAAATACCAAGTTGTTTATTTCAGCAGCACATTTGGTTAATATCTAAAATGTAGTCCTGTCTGAGGGCTTGGTGCCTGGCTTTTCTATGTATTGGTCACAACCATTACTAATTTTTGTCCCATTGTAGACTTGGGCAGTTAGTGTATACACAAAGGTGCTTAGATGGTGAATGATTAAACCTAAGCATTACTCTCCAGCCAGACTTTGTCTGCTTAGAGAAATGGTTATGTTTATCTAATTCTGTACCCAGAAGAGATACACTTCCTGATGTGTGCAAGGATAAGTTCAAGTTTAGGGAATTCCTGATTACTTCTCTCTGTTCAATGTGGAATTTTATTCAATGAAAGTTAATTTGTTGCTTCTGATAGTTATTGAAATGAATAAGGATTTAGTAGATTCTCGTGGTGCCTTAATTTCATCTGTCAACCATTTGAAATTAGCCATTGCTTCTTACTGGCTTTTATTACTTTAATAGCAAATATTAGGAGTATGAAAAAGAATTACCACAGAGATGGAGAGATGTTTCAGTGATAAAGAGCACTTGCTTTTGCAGAGGACCAAGGTTCAATTCCCAGCACCAACATGGTGGCTGAGAACCAACTGTAATTTCAGTTCCAGGGGATCCAACACTTTTCTAGCCCCCTTGGGCACTGCATGCACATGGTACACCTACATACATGCAAACAAAAACACTCATACACATAAAATAAGAATAATAAATAAAATATTTTTTAAAATGACTGCCATACTACATGTCTCAAGTGTTTTTAATACTTGGTAGAGTGATTTTTTTGCCAACAGATCTTTAAAATAAGATTATTCTTAAAATATTTAGGTTTAATTTTACCAGGGATTATAGCACGTTAGAACAAACATGGGCTATTGAGTCAATGATCTAGGTTCAGATCCTCAGTTCAACTTTTTATTAGCTATTATTGGGACCAAATTAATTGTGTCCTTTTTTACTCATGATCATTGTGTACGTGGAATGAGCCTAACTAAATTCTTGCATTAGAATTTGTGTGATGTTCTGGGCCTGGTTGTGTATACCTTTAATACCAATACTTGGAAAGCAGAGGCAGGTGGAGCTCTATGAATTTGAGACTACACTGAGCTACATAGTGAGAGAAGAGTCGTCACCGTCCTGTCCTGTCCCACCGCTGCCCCCCAGCTTAAAAAACAGGTAGAGCCAGACATGGTGACCCAAGCCTTTAATCTCAGCACTTGGGAGGTAGAGGCAGGCAGGCAGATCTCTGTGAGTTCAAGGCCAGCCTAGTCTACATAGCAAGTTCCAGGTAGGCTGGGGCTACAGGGAGACCCTGCCTTAAAAAGACAAAAAAATTAAAAAATTTTTTAAAAAGGTGGGATGTACAGCATATCCTGGCCACTCATTAGATGTTCATCTTCCTGCCCCTCCTACTCTATCTTAACACCTTAAGCCTTGACTCTAAGAAGTCCTTTAATTAGAGAGTGGTGCTGATTTTGGTTAGCTTTATCTTTAATTCCTTACAGTTTACCCCAGTGTTTTTTACAGTTGTTTTAAAAGACTGAAAATTATCATTTTTTGCTTTCATGTCTTACCAGGACAGTGGTGGTGTATTAGAATATTACTCAGAACCACAGTTGAACTGCTGTTGCTAGAGTTAGATTTGTAAGCAGTATAACAATTACTATTTTTAAGAAAGCCATTTTGAGTGGCTTGCTTATGGAGGTTGAGTACAGTGAAAAAAAATTCTGGTTATTGAGATTTCATGCCACTGGTTTAACGTGCATAAGTGAGGTGGGTATAGGAAAGAGCAAGTTTCTGGGACTGGGGAGACACTTGGTTGTTAAGTGTCTACTGCACAGACATGAGGCCATGAGTTTGGATCCCCAGCACCCATGTAAAAAGCTGACTGAGGGGGTGTGTATGTGTAACTCCAGCATTGGAGTAGGATGAACAGATAGATCCCTGAAGCTCATTGGCTAGCCAGCCCAGCTAAATCAGTGTGCTCCAGGTTCAATGTAGAGACCTTGTCTCAAAAAGTAAGTTGCTATGTTCACCTGAAAAGAGCCCCTATTCCTTGCCTATTTTTTTTTTTTTTTTTAAGTAAGCTGAAGAACAATCAAGGAAGATGCCCAAATTGACCCTGGACCTTCATAGGCATAAGCAAGCACATTCATGTCCACATATACATTGCTAATTTGGAGACTTGCCTGGGCACAGTTCTTTGAATTAATCAAAACTGAATTAAGAAAAAAGAGTCTGGACAATAAATTATGAAGTTAATTTGTATTAGATTATTGTAACTTCAAACCTTATTGCTGACTCTAAGGCTGTTGGAAATACTGAATTTGTGAGAAATTCATGGAAACCATAACTTGATTTGAAGAATTTATCACTCATTCCTTTAAACTACTTTTAAACATATATATAGCTGAGAAAAATGTTTAAGTTTAATCTTAATTTAGATGAAATGCCCTTTTACTTTATTTTAAAATGTTCATTTCATTTTATTTATTTTGTGTTGGGGGTAGGCTTGCAGGAATCAGTTTTCTCCTCCTGCAGTGTGGTTCCCAGGGATTGAACTCAGGTAATCAGGCATGGCGACAAGGGCCTTTACCTACCGAGCCATCATGCCAGCCCCAAATGTCCTTTTTAGACGAATGGCAAAAGTATTAGGCATAGTATATGTGGACAGTTTCAGGCATTGCATTCTATTAGATGAAAAATATTAACTTATTATTTTAAATATTTCTTATAGGCATTGATTCATGGATTAAACAGACATTACTACTCCATCACTATTAACTATAGAAAAAATGAGCTGGAACAAAAGGTAAGTTTACTTTTTTTTTTGGTCTTTTCAGCTGGCCTGGAACTTGCTCTGTAGACCAGGTTGGCCTTGAAGTCACAGAGATCCTCTTGCCTCTGCCCCTGGAGTGCTGGGATCAAAGGTGTGCACCACCACACCTGGCTGTATGTTTACATTTTTATCTTAGACTATGAGCAGATCTTTTAAAAAATATTTGAACTATTGCCTGATACATGATCTAAATTTTTTAATTGTTTACCTCTTTTGCTCATTCCAAATATTTTTCCATTCTCAGTATACTATAGCATAAAATAAAGGAATATGTTATTTAAAAAGGCATATTTTTCCTTATTGGTAGACTGCTAACATGAGGTGAGGAAGTTATTCAAATGTTCAGTTTTGTTTTATGATAAATAATAAAACTTTTGCCCTGGTTCTGTTTTTATTTTTATCTCCAATAAAATTACTTTTTGTAATTTAAATGTGTAGCTTTTCAAATTTGATAAAAATAAATTAAATGGTAATTATGTAGTTCTTTAACATGCTATGTTTACCTATGTAAGAAAAGTTCAGGTATTTGAAACTGGACTGTTCCTATTTTTTTATTTTTTAATACCAGGCAATTTTCAAATTAAATTTCTTGCTTTTTGTTTGGTTTTAGTTTGGTGTAGGTTTTTTGGTTGGGGTATATACTTGTGTGTTTCTTGTGGGGAGGGGGTTTGTTGCATGTGCCTGTGTGCACATGTGTATGGAGGCTGAAATCAGGTGTTTTCCTTGATTGTATTCCACCTTACTTTTTTTGAAACAAGGTCTCTCACTGAACCTGGAGCTCATCTGTTGGGCTATGCTGGCTGACCAGTGAGCTCCAGAGATCTTCCTGTCCCTACCACCACCCCTCCTCTCATTCTTCCATCTTACTCCTGGGTTTACAAAGTATGCCACCATGTCTGGCTTTTTTATCTGGGTTCTGGGGATCTGAACTTAAGTCATCATACTTACATGGCAAAATCACTTTAGTGACTGAGCCATCTTTCCAGCTCCCCCACTCCCTTTTGAGACATTTTATTGTTTTTCCTAGGCTAGTAATAAACTTGCTGTATACCTGAGGATGTCCAGGATCTTGTCTCCACCTCTTGAATGCTGTAATTACAGCTATGTGCCACCACACTCATTGGTTTGTACAGTGCTGAGTCAAACCCAGGGCCTCATGCATGCTAGGCAAGCACTCTACCAACTGAGTCACATCCCTAGGCAAACTATTACTTTTAAAACCTACCTATCATCTTGGTACATTTGCATTTTTTGCTTATATCTAATATTTTAGAAATAGTCCTAGTATTTTTTTTCCTCTCAGCTAAATGTATCTCTGCCTTTTGTATTTTAAAATTATGAACTGTTTCCCCCTTATTACTATTATAATTCATGTATTAAATTAGCTTTTTATATTTCTCTGAGAAAGACTGACAATTTTTTAAGAATGCTGTCACTACTGATAACGCACTCAGGTCTACACATGACAAATATTCAGTAGCAAAGTAGACTAGTTGAAGCTGTTTTTCAGAGGTACCTTGGTAGGGTATGGTGAGTGGGACGCACAGAAAGTTGGAGTTTCCATCATAGCTCATCTTTCAGACAGATCACTTTCATCTTTAGTCTTTTATCTCATTTTGTGTGTTGGGGAGAAAGCCCCCCCCCATTCCCCTTTATTTTTACGTTTATAAGTGTAGTGTATGAGTAATGGCAATTTTCAGTATCAGTAGAAAAGATGAAAAGCAAAGAAACTGGAATTACATGTGCAATCTTTCTAGTTTTTTTTTTTTTTTTAATGTACATGTTCTTGCCCCTTAGATCAAAGGAAGGGGATTCTGTATCTTAAAATGTCTCATAGGTGATTTTGTCGTATACCTTATCTTTCAGCATAAGAGAAACTTTGTACCACAACTGGCCACAAACTGCTAAACAAGTAGAATAATTAAAACAAGCTAAATCCATACATTTCTAGTAGTTACATCTTCAGAATTTCCTGGCTCAGCAATCTGATGTAAAGTTCTGTGTGTGTCTGTGTCTGTTGCTAGGGAATAAAGTCAAGGCCTTGCACATGCTGGGCAAGTCCTCTGCCATTGAAAGAATCATGGCCCCAAAAGTGAAGACACTGGTTTAGGTTGTACAGCAAGAAGCAGGCTGCTGCTATTCCCCCTATTTCGTAGTGTTTTCAAAATAACTTTTTATTCAGTGTTAATACTTAATTGAAGGAAATTTCTAGGATGTAACTTTAGGAAAAATTGTTTTAAAATTGTCAACTTGGGGCTGGAGAGATGGCTCAGCAGTTCAGAGCACTTGCTACTCTTACTTGGGCCCTGAGTTCAGTTGCAGGCACTTACCATTCCTGAAAACCCTGCTCCAGGAAGTCCCACTTCTTCTGAGGGCATCTGCACATACTAGCACATACACTCACATAGACACACACACTTACACATACATAAATTTAAAATAATACTTAAAAGAATTTGCAAGTTTGAGGGCAGGTGAGATGGTTCAGAGAGTAAAGGTGTTTGCCCTCAGGCTGAGGACTAGAGTTCAATCTCCAGCACCCACATGGTGGAGGGAGAGACTGGACTTTCTCAGGTTATCCTGTGACCTGCATCTGCATGCTGTGATATGTGTACTCTTCCCCCAAAAAATATATTTATAAAAAAGGGTACACTTGTAATACAGGTGAGATGTCACGTCTCTAATGTACACTTGTAATGCGGGTGAGATGTCACGTCACTAATCTCAGTGTTTGAGGAGGTTGAGGCAGGTGGATTGTGACTTTGAGGTTGACCTGGGCTACATAGTACAGCCCTGTGTGCCACCCCCAAAATACATACATACATACTTGAAAGTGTGTGAACTTCTAAGGATATATACTCAGAACTTGAATTGAACATGAGGAACAATGAACTAAGGTATTTAGTTTCATGATAGCAGATATAGGGCCCAGTTCAAGTTTGTTGATACGTTTGCAAGCTGGATATATTTATGATGTGCTTTCTAGTTTTATGTTTCTCTTTTCTGACCATAAAGAAATTTTAAGTTTTTATAGCAAACCTGTGTGTAATATAAGAATTTAATGTAGCACCCTTTCATTTATTAGGTTCTCACTAGATGCTGTAATTAGGTACTGTAGACTCTAGACTCTGGTCATCTTAAAGATAACTGAATGAAGTAAAGTGAAATTTCAGGTGTTCACAGACATTATAAAAATAACACAGCAGGAGAAGGGAAGAAAGATCTTTGCTTGAAGCAGTGTGAGGTAGTCTTTTGGATAGTATAGTTTGGAAAAGCATCTATCTCTAAGGAAGAGAGAATGAAGTCAAGTCATGCAAAGACAAGAATAACCTAGGTGGGTACCAGTAGCAAAGCCATGGGGTTGGAGCACATCTGAGATTATATCAGTATAAATTGAGGACATTTCTAATTGGAGTTATTTGAATAAATTATATTTAAGTTCATTAATTTCATGTTTTTTGTGAAGTGTTTTCTCAAGGAAGGCAAAGGGAATATCTTTAAGGCAATAAAATAAAATTCTTCTATTTTTTAGATGTTGTTAAATTTGCATAAGAAGAGTTGGATGGAAGGTTTGACACTTCAGGACTACAGTGAACATTGTAAACACAATGAATCAGTGGTAAAAGAGATGTTGGAATTAGCCAAGAATTACAATAAGGTAAAAGTCACTTTGAGCATTTGTTTCTTCAAATTTTTTGAAATATGTATGATTATGTACTAAGCACTTATATAATTAAAAACAGAGGTTTATTTTGTATGTTAAATAATAAATACTTCACAAGCAATCTAGTCTCTTCCTAAAATCTGCCACCATTGTGGCACATCCACAGAGAATTTGTAAACAATGAGGGTGCCTGGGTTTTATTAAAATAGGTAGTTGATCTGCTTTGGCCCATGGGCTCTAAGTTTACAAACCCTGTTGTAGACTGTGAAATATAGTTATACATTCATTATTTAGAGAATTTTTCTTGGAAAGGAAGGAAAGTAAAGGGATGTAGACAGTGAAAACAGAACTTATTTGTTACATATACTTTATTTGACAAACTTTTAAAAAATTCTATTTACTATGTACTCACTGAAAACCTGTTGTGTGTTAGACACTGGGATATGCTAAAAAGCAAGACCTACAAGTCCCTATTGCCCAAGGAGCTTTTTCTCAAGGAGAAACAGAGCATAAACAAATAAACAAAACATAATACATTGTGGTTAGTGTTATGGAAAAAAACAGAAGGATATTAAGGACAGTGACTAGGGAGACTGACTATATATGAGGAAATAAAAAATTATAGTTTCAAAACATATTATGCAAAATCTTGTGAAAATATGTGTGCTAAAATATATGTGGTTATTGGGCTAGGGAGATTGCTCATTCTGTAAAGGCCTAGGTTCCCCAGAATCCATGTAGAAAAGCTGAATGTGATGCTGTGGCTATGTCAAGTGTATGGTGCCTGAGGACCAACACCCAAGGTTGTCATCTGTCCTCCACATGCACATCCACATCACATGTGCACACACACAGCTATGACAATGTTTTATTCATAGATTTATGTTGATTTAGAATTCTAAAATTAAGAAAATACTTGATATGATTAAAAGTTAACTTCCATGTTACATTACTTAACTGGGGCTGCCATAACAGATTGCCATAGACTGGTCCCATAAAATGACAGAAATTGAGTCTCAAAATTCTGAAGCCTAGAAATCCAAAATCATGATATTGTTGGAGCCAGATTCCCCCTGAAGCCTGTAAAGAAGAGTCCTTCCTGCCTTTTCCAAGCATTCTTTGGCTGAAGCAGCACAGCACCACTCTTTAATCAGGACTGGGAATTTAGCATACTGTTTAGGTCAGAATTTAACTCATAGCGTGTATATTCCAACTCTTCAGATTAAAATCTTTTTACATTCCAATGTGACAAAATTTGCATTTTGGCACAGTAAATGTATATGTATATATGTAATTGCAACAAAAATTTTGTGAAATAGTATTTACCTTTATTTGTGATATTTTCTTTCTCATTTGACTTCATTTTATTCTTTCAATTATGTATATTGATATGCTGCATCTGTATATATAGATTGCAATTCACTAATGGGCTGAAACTGGAATTTAAAAAATTTATACCTTATGCAGTATTATATTCACTGACAGTTATGAGTATCTTCTGTTTGACTTATAGCAGAAAACAGGGATTTTTGCTTTATTTATAACAGGTACAAGCTCATAAGAAACCAAAGATCTGGGAAAAGCTAGGCTGCTATATATATAACACCCTTGTATTAAAATTGTCAACAGGTCAACTATCATCACTTGGATCTTGTTAGAAATATAGACTCTCAGACCTGCTGACTCAAAGTGTACATTTCAACAAAGATACTCAGATGTATGCTCTTGAAGTTAGACATTAGGGTAACACTGCCATAGACAAACTCAAATGAAGTCCTGTAGGTGTTCAGAGATTCTGATTTATCAGATGGGTAAGACCCAGGCTACTATCTTAGAGAACAGTATTTGAACTAGCTCTTAAAGGATATGTAAGATTGGCACATATGTAAGAATGTAACCCTCAGTAATATAAATATCATGGGCAAAGACTAGGAGATAGAAAAGGACTTAGCCATCCATTTTCAGGACCCCTTCCTACTACAGGCAATTGTTATTCTACTTCCCCATGAAACCTTGCTTTCCCTTAAAAAAAATAATAAAAGGCATAGGCTGTAAAACTTGCTTGCCACCAAGCATAATGACCTACCTTTGATCCCTGAGTCCTACGTGGTGGAAAGAGACAACCTATTTACAAAAGCTGTTTTCTGACTTCCACATGCAGGCCTTTGACATGCATGTGCCTCCCCCACCCCTCACACACAGATTTTTTTAAAAATGTAATTATAAACTAAAGAAAAAGCATAGGGAAATAAAATCAGCATGTCAGAGAAAAATACCAGCACTTTTGATAACTATTATAATAATACTCAAAATAGCCAAGATACAGAATCAGCTTTTAAGTGAGCTCCCTCCCACCCTCCATGCTTGTATGTTCACAATACAATACTATTCAATATTTAAAAAGAAAGGAATTCTGTCATTTACAACATGGATGAGCCTGGAGGACATGGTTAAATGAAATAAGCGAGACACATAAAGAGAAATCATATGACTTCACATGCATGTAAAGTCTAAGAAGCCTGAACTCAGAAGTAGAGAGTGTAAAATTGTGGCTTTAGGCAGATGGTAGGAGAGGCTGGGAAATAAAAAGAAAAGGCACAAGATATGTTTAGGGAACGGTATGTTTGGCTAGAGCTATCATGAGGAGGAATACTAGGGGGTTAAAAAGTTATTTTTAGCCGGGCATGGTGGTGCATGCCTTTAATCCCAGTACTTGGGAGGCTGAGACAGGTGGATCTCTGTGAGTTCAAGGCCATCCTGGTCTACAGAGTAAGTTCCAGGCCAGCTGGGGATATAGGGAAACCCTGTCTCAAAAAGACCAAAAAAAAAAAAAAGTTATTTTTTTTTATCGGAGGCATGGTATTCCTAGAGCTTAAGTTACAAGCAGCTTTACAGCAGTATAGAAGGAATGCTTTTAAGGGGAAATTTGAGCAGGAAACTCTGTTTAAGGGATTTATACTAAATGGCTATGTTACTTAGTGGCAGTGGGAATAGAAGCATCAGTGAGTAAATGAAGCGTGGCACTGATTAGGTAGGTCAAGTGAAAAGAGGAGACTCCAAGAAGAGTTTAAGATTTCCAGCCTGGGTGACTAGATATATGTTGATATCAGTAATCATTCCAATTTAGATGGGAGGAGAAGGAATGAGAAAGATATTTTACTTAGCATATAAAATAACAGGTCTCCTTATGGTGTTTTCATACTTTGGTTGATTCCCCCATCTTTCTGTCTCCATCCCTGCTTGTGTCCTTCCATTTCCAGCATTCCCTGTTCCACTTTCATGTCACATGTGTTCTATTATATGTCTCTGCCTCGCTTTCTTAAAACCTGTTCTTCTTTCTCTCATGGACCTCTTTCTCCATGATTTGTATCCAAACTCAATTCCCACAAAAATACACAAATATAAAAATTTGAAGCTACCCTTTTAAAACAGTTTGAAATGTAGGATTTAAAATTAATAGAAATAGCCAGGCATTGGTGGCACTCGCCTTTAATCTTAGCACTTGGGAGGCAGAGGCAGGGGGAATCTCTGTGTTTTCAAGGCCAGCCTAATATATATAGCAAGTTCCAGGCCATCTGGGGCTACAGAGTGAGACGTCTCAAAGTAATAACAACAATAATAATAGTAATAATAAAGACTAGAATTAAAGATTTGGGAATCATGGTTAAGAAGATATGACTTGCTTCACCAAAAAGTATTTCTCTTTTTAAGTTAAATATACCATGTTAAAAAACATACTCTCCAAGAGATAGTATATGAGTTATCAAGTGTAGCAGCAGATCTTGTGAAAGAATTGAGCTTTGAAGTAAAGATAGTGAGCTCCTACAAACTAGATTTTAGCAGAGTTAGGTTGGGCTTTGAGGAGCATGTCCTGACATACATAGTGTTTCAGCCAGAAACTCCTACCCTCACCCCCCAGTATTAGCTTGAAGGTTAAAAAAAAATTTTTTTTTCCTTTCTAGAGTTGTTTTCATGCTGTAGAGATTTTAGAGAGAGAAGGAAGTAGTTCATTGTTTAAAATTATTGACCTTTTATTTTTAAAAAAATTCTAACAAGTTATTATTCAGCACATTATAAGAATTTTTTTTTTGTCTCTGTAACATTGCATTTAAGTAAATTCATATCAGTACCACTGCCGGGAAATAACCTGTTTATGGTTGCTGCTGCCCATCCGTGGAAGTTTTTCCTATTTTATAGTTTTAAAAAATCTCTGTAGTACTCAAAAATTTGTAAGGTTTGCTTAAAAAATGAAAACAGTACGTGAGCTATAATATGAAAGAGTCCAAATTTGGGGATGTAATTCCCTCTGTGATTGAAAGAAATACAAGTGGATTTTTAAAAATTTATTTATTTATTTTAATAACACAAAATATACAACGAAAGGCCCATGCTACCACTCCTTCGTGAGGTTCTTTTTAATTGATTGGTGTTTTAAATGAAGGTAATTATTGTTAGATGCCACTCAGGTCCTAAAGTAAAAGGAGGTTAGAAGATAATTAAATTCTTATGTTCCAAGTTTTTGATTTCAAGCCTATATTCCACACAGAAATTCTGCTTGATTATTACTCACTTGATTTTTCTAATTACTGAACTACACACCCACAGCATTCCAAACCTTCTAATTTATTCATGCCAGGATACATCTGCTATTTTTTAGAATTCTGTTAATATTTGATTACATATTTGTAAATGAATGTGTAGGTGAAAAATGTATTGCAAAAGAGCATTTGAAGAATAACATAGAAACAAAAATTTGCCTCCTTTTCAAGCATGTAGCTATAAATTCTGAGATTTGACAGTGTACTTTTCAGATAGCTATATTGATTTAATTGATAACCTGAAAGAAATATGGGATATCTTTATATAATTTCACATAAAACATGTAAATATGTGGTTATATTTGTTTTGCCACAGTTTCTATATGAAGTAGAAAAATCTTGTTTCATGCTCATTTAATTAGATAAGAAAAACAAAAGATATAAATATTGAGGGAA